GTCCATCCATAGACTGGGAGGGAGGGGCTGGGGGGGGGGGGGGGGAGAGGTAAAGATAGAATCTTAGGGTCAAAGAGAGATGGGAGTGATAGAATTTTGGGGACAAAAGAGAGAAGGGGAGAGATATGAGGTTGAGAATAGGATAGAGAGACTTTCCAAGATACTCAAATTTCTCATCTCATAAAAACGCATAACCTATTATTCAATATCTAAGGATAGAAATTGGTTTTTACTCACACTTAAAGTCCATATACTCACACTTATCGTCGATATAGTGATTGGTGGGTACCGTTGAGTGGTTAGCCCTTTCTCCGGAGAAAGAAAGAGTAAAAAGAAAGGATGAAAGAAAGAAAGAACGAAGGAGAGAAAAGAGCTTTCAGATCATAAATCACAGAAGAGTTACTATTTTCCTTAACCTTTCCCGGTGAAATGAGGTCGCTATCGTGCTTGCTCGCTGTATACTTCAACACAAAAGCCGCACATTGGGCAGACGTCCTCATATGACCTAAAGAGGTTAGGATCGCGCTGTTGAACTCTTATTAAACACTGGGCAGAGCCTTAGGATTTTCTTTCCCCATTCGGTCGTGTAATCTCTTGTTTTTACCGCCCTCCCTAAGGCGCTTTAATAGATCCCCTCTTCGGGTTTTAGCTTGTTTTATATCGACATGTATTTTTTTTCTTTTTAACTTTTACACCCTTGAGTCGGGGTACCGTCTGTAGTGCAGCATTTTGGCGCTTGGCCTTTACACGTGGGAGACCTGAGTTCGAGTGCCCAGTGAGGAGGAGAATTTCTATTGAGTATTTCGGTCTTTCTGATCAAAAGTTGTATCTGTCTCAGACTGTGTTGGTCCTGACAGGCACTGTCGAAGGCCGCCGAGTTGGGTTGTTGTAAGAATAAAGAAGAAAACTGAGACATTTGATCTGACAGTTTTTGTCTCCTCCAAAAAACATTTTCGACCTAACGTTGTATGCTATGCCAATCTGGCTCTGGTACTAAAAGAGGAAGAATAAATGTTTTTCCGCTATAAATAAGTGCTTGTTCACATTTGATACCGATATCTCAGTTGGCACTGGTTCGAATCTTGGCGGGGCACTTTGAGCTTGTTGTTTTGGGAAGTTTTCAAGGCTCATCATGCCTCTGGTCCTGTCCTTTAGAAAACTGACGTTAAATTCAAAGGTCCTGCCTCTCCGCGCAGTGTGTGTATGTATGTTGTCTGTTGTTTTTATGGGGGGGGGGGGTTCATCTGGGGAGGAGGATTCTGTTGATTAAAAAAAAACAACTATCATTCCATCGATGTTTAGCCACAGTCCCCGAATTGGCCTAGACAGAAATGTAAGTGTTACCTGGGCAGATTTCCCTGCTTGTCGGTTCAGCTGTTGGTGACGTGGGAGGAGGAAGAGAACTGAAGGCACCAGTCACCGACAGCTCCGACATACCTCCACGGTCATTTATGCTCGTGTCCTCACCATTGACGATTTTTGCCGGTCTCAGAGGATATCGCGGGAAGGGCAATAACATTAAATATTATAACTGACATAAGCTCGACAGATTCGTTAGTAGTAGTCAGTTGTGTCGCTTAGAAAGAGGGGAGTTTTTTCTCCTTTGTTTTTTCTGTAGTTGTTGCGTTGCAGTTGTTGTTGTTGTTGATGTTGTTGTTATTGTTATTGTTGTTGTTATTGTTGTTGTTGCTGTTGCTGCTGCTTCTGTATTGTTGTTGTTGTTGTTAAACCTGTTGTTGATGATGATGATGATGATGATGATGATGATGATGATGATGATGATGATGATGATATTTGTGCAGCTTTTAAAAGTGCGATCCATGAAGGATCTTTTTTGCCATGAGTGTCTTATTACTCTTTGTCCAGCTTTTCACAATGCAAAAAGCAGCCCCACATTGCTCAGGTACAGGTTCGAAGCAGCCAGCCTCCTAAATGTCATTATTATGTCTATTTGGATGTAAAACGCCTTTTAAATACTGTGTTCCTTCATGAAGAGGCCCGTCTGTGACCGACTGATTGACAAAAAAGCCGAAACGGTCGGTGCAGCACGTTTCTTTTTTTGTTTTTTTAGGAGGGAAAAGGGGGGGGGGGGCAACTGCATACGGTCATATGAGCGCCAGTTGAGAGATTTAAAAAATAGTTTGTTTTTTTATTGGGGGGGGGGTGATGCTTTCCACTGAACGCTAGTTGTTACGTAGGGTCGATATAATATGGGGGATGACTGATTGCATATACATGTATACTAGCGATAATCTTGCTTTCACAACAGTAATAAACGTACTGATGTTGTTGTTAATAGAGTAGCTGCATCATGGTGACAGATGTCGCGGGGGGAGTCCTTCTCTCCGTTGGTTTCAAACTAGACCTGGTCCTCTCTCTCTCTCTCTCTCTCTCTCTCTCTCT